TTTCTCTTTCCTTTGAGGGCGTTGACTCGACTCCACAGCTCTGACACCGCTTGGTTGGGGTTGATCCCCTCCAAAAATTCTTCCCAGCTACTTTTCTTAGCATCCCTGATGATTTGCCGGCATTCATTTCGCTTGGAGCGGTAGAGCTCGGTAGCTCGTTCCTTGTCTGGGTGATTCATGGGTAGGCGTTTGGCTGCACGAAGAGCTTTTCTTCTCGCTTTAATGGCAGACTTTGCTTCTGGACACCACCAGTGTAAGGGTTTCCGGCCGGGGTTTGAACTGGTCTTTGGAATGGAGATTTTTGCGGCCTCAGAAATGATCTCCATGAGTTCTTCAATGCTTGCCACTGGATGGTCGATGTGTGCTTGAGTCACGGTATCGTTGAAGAGTTCCCAGTTAGCTTGATCGTAGAGCCACCTGGGACGCCTTGAGGTCTCTGGAGGTTCTCCCCCTAACACGATGATGATAGGATAGTGGTCACTCCCTGCTGGATCATCCAGAGTTTTCCAGAGGAGGCGCTCGGTAATGGCTGGGCTGGCTGCAGAGATGTCGATCGCTGTTTCGCACTGGCCACGGACGAAGGTGTTCGATCCGTCGTTGAGGGTCACTAAGTCGAGGGACTCGATGAGTTCCGCTATGGCAGCACCACGGAGGTTTGCTTTAGAGCTCCCCCAAGATGGGTGGTGCCCATTGATATCGCCGAGGAGTATAAGATTGGGGCCAAAACTCGTTGAAGTTTGTGTAGAAGGTCCGGGATTTTCCCGTTTGGTAGGTATAGGTTGATGACTGAGACCGGGAATGGGGATTCCAATTTGGCTCCTACGATTGGGAGGTCGGTATTAAGGTCGATAGGGATGAACGGAATGCCATCAGCAATTCCGAGGGCAACCGAGTGATAAATATTGCTTTGACTGCAATTGTTGATCCACCGGTATTTGCCTGCAAGTGTGCGGTCTAGCTGCATTATGTTGACTCTGTGGGTCTCCTGGAGAGCCAGAATCCTGGGTGAGATATTATGAACCAGAACTTCTAAGTCCCCAAGATTGTTAAAAAATCCGTTCATGTTCCATTGGATCGCTAAAGTAGTGCTGCGGGGTCTACCAGGGCCGATAGGACTAGTGGACAGTGAGGGCAGTTGCGCTTGTCTGGTGTGGAGCCGTTTGGAGCTGGCAGCATTGGAGCATGTCGAGGTTGGAGAGCTAGAGATGGACTCCAGCAATTCATCAACGGTAGACGTTGTCAGGATTGTTTCCGCTTCCGGTAGAGTTGTCTGGGTCACCGAAAGGAATGGATATCTGCATAACGGACCGACGGTCATAGGTCGTTCTTCACCAGTAGTGACCCGCGACGTTTGTCCGGGTCCAATGACTGACTTGGCATGGAATCGATTGGGTTCAGATGTGTGGATGTTTATCAGTGTTGAGGGGAGAATGGTGGACCCCAGCAGAGCTCCACCAACAGAAGCAGCCAGAACTGGCCCCGCTGCTGGCAAAGTCGTTTGAGCTATCGATACGAAGGACGGACTAGATGAGGAACCAGCGATCGGAAGGGGACTCCCTCCAATCCGGGTTCGCCATTTATCGTACTCGCGGGCATTTGATAGTGCTTGTTTGGGAATATCTCTCATGTTACTTAATTCATGCAGCGGTGTTTCAAATGTTCGGGGTGTATTTATGTCACTCAGCCTGCCGACTTGAGCCTTTTCGGATTCCACGTGGGGGAGAGTGAAGTTATCACGCGACCCACTGGTCCTTTCTCCTTCCATGCTATTCTCATCTTCCTTGGGATCATCGTTTATGCTTCGTTGGGGGAATGTGATGTTATCACTCGACCCATTATTTCCACAATTTTTGACGTTGTGCAGCTTGTCCTTCTTGAATCCCTCATCGTCCTTATTCATTACGGTTGCCTTTGGTCCCACGCTGTCCCAAGGGGGATAGGAGTGTCCTCCTTTTTCCGTCCCTCTTCCGGCGGTCACAGGGTGACGAGGGTTGTCCGTCGATTCCGGTGGGATAATGACTTCCGCATCGAGGGGGCCTCGACTGCTCCGTGACACGGCCGAGATGATGAAATTCCGGTGCTCGTCGGAGTTTGCCAACGAGTGTCGGGGGGTGTCTGCCAGTTCCGGTTGGTCCATAGCGTCCGCACTGACAGGGCCCCGACTACCCGAGGCCTTATCCGGTGTTTTCAATGTCGTTGTAATGTTTGTGGTGATTGAGATAGATGCAGTCCGCTTTGTTTCCTGATTGTTTCTAGCCTCAGTAGAGGGTGGTGTAGATGTAAAGTGCATGTTGATTGTTATGGGAATTCTTTTCCGGTTGATCAGGTAAGACGGACTGGGTTGACTGGGTTGTGGAGGTCTAGTCTTCCATTGGAGTTGAGTTGTCCTCGGTGGACATCACCTCGTCTTCCGAGGAGATAAGCTCGTTGTCGACAACCTTTTCTACAGATGGCGAAGGGTCGAGTTCAATTTCAGTATCAGAGATGTATGCCAGTGTTTTTGACCGTTTTGAGTCTACTTCGTCGCTTGTCTGTTTATTTTGCTTCTTCTTCGTTCCAGAGGGTTTTTCGTGTGGTGTATGTTGGGATTTTTGTTGTTGTTGCTCCTGTTTGGTGTTCTCTTTTGGGACAGATGGTGTCGGGAGTTTTGAGCTAGTATTTGTGATGAGCTTTTTATACTGCTGATTAACAAGGCGAAGATTGGCAACCTCCTTATCTTTTTGGGATACGGTGGTCTCGAGAGACTTGACTCTGGCTACTAAGTCTTCGATGGTCCCGTGTTTCTGTATGATGTTCAACCGACTTTCCGGTTTCAGGGCTGATTCTAGGGCTTGAATACGTTCGTCTTTACGTCGTACTTCGGTTTGCAAGTTCACGATCATCTGTCGGAGTTCATCAATATCCGTTTTGCTAGTGGTTGAAGAACTTTGGTTCTTTGCCTCCAATTCTGCAATCTTGCGATCCTTTTCCTCCATTTGGCTGAGGAGAAGGTCAAATTTAGCTGAGAGGTCAGCGAAATCGGAATCTTTACTCCTGTTGGTGACTCCAGCAAAGGATTTCTCTCCGGTGACCACCTCGAAAATCCTTTTGGCCGCTGGGTATGGGATTCCCTTGTCAACACGGATACGTTGTATTGCGTCTTCCGTCTTATACACCGGGCAGTTCCGACTAGCTATGGAATGATCATTCGTGTTACACCTGGGACAGAACGAGATGGCAGAACAGCTTTCTCCCTGAACAGTAATGTGTTTTTTTGCGCATTGGCCACATGTCTTATCTGCTTGCTGACATCGTTTGCTTGTGTGCCCGAAAGCGAAGCATTGGAAACAGAGCATCGGTCCTGGGTAATAGGGCCGGGTTCTGCACCTTAGATACCCAACGTCAACGTGTTCTGGAATGCGGGTTCCATCGATTGTCAGAATAACAGTAGCTGTATTCTCTCTTTCGGTCCCGGTTCTTGCTTTCCTAGTAATCCGGCGAATTTGTGTGACTTTCTGATCCTTGAGATACGACAGAATGTCGGTATCGGTTACCTTTGCTATGCTTGGGCAATTGATTACGCAACGGGTGGTATTGAGACTGGCATGCTTGGTGATCCTGATCTTGGTTCCATCGGAGAGCTGATCCATGGCGAGGAGGCGTTTCATTTGGTTCTGCGAACGGACTTTGAGTGCGTATGTTTTACCTCTAGATTCAGGGAAAGCACCATCAATTTTTCCTTTTATCCACTTCTCGATAGACGAGCGAATCAAGAAAGGATGCTCCGGTAGTTTCCGGATTCGGTATCGGATTCCATCCTTAACACCACAATTTCACCGTGCAAACCTTGTGGGTCCATGTAGGCCGGCAGTGTCGCACCCGTATATGATCCATAGATTGTGTTACTTGCCCCTTCTCCGGAGTCTGGGAGGGGGGGAAAGTCCCACGCCAGCGACATGGCTGGGGGGAATCGGTGACGGAAGTTGTTTGTCAGAACCGCTTTTTCGATGAAACTCTAGAGAAAATTAAGCTAAAATCGAGAGAAACACTTGCTCGAAATTTTTTTGTCTTCCACTCGCGCCACACAGAGAATATAACTCGCAACCAATTAATTAAATGTAAACAACCGTCACTTCAAATCACGACACAATCTTCTTGTGATTATATAAGAACTTGCATGCAAGATCTCTACATCACCTGATATGGGTCAATTGACAGCAATGGCTGTCGCCACTTTTGCGACTCTATACGCTTGTCCGATAATAATGGTTCACTATTTATTTCAATTTTACTCGCCGGTATGGTTTTATCGGGGTAAACCCCCACTGTGACACGACTTCCTGTCAATTTATCAAACTATTCGCACTCACTGAAGGAATAAACAATCTGTTAATAACTCGCAATCTCGCGAAAAAAGCAACGGTGTAAAAAGCAACTTGACTGATCGTGGTGTATACGAACTGTCCATACTTACCAGGTCATTTATATCTGTAATTGTAATCAGCTCGATTTTGTTTGCAAACCTGGTTAAAATGTTTATATTTAATTATCTTTAAGAAAACTCGTTTAGCTCAAACCTTTGTAGGGGTAAGAGGTGGGACCATCATCATCATCATAATTAAAATAATTTGAAATCTCAGTACCCGTACGATTTTGTTAACAGCTTCCGAACGATTTTTTGAAAATAATGTATTTTTGGCCTTTGTGATTATTTTTTTAAATGAAAGATTCATTATTAATAACGTCTATGTCGTGTCACGGTGATCCAAGATCAACGAAATCATTAATTAAATTTCAAAATAAACCCGTTCAATTTTAGCGACACTAAATGTTTGGGCTTGATGCCAACATCGAACGGGTACTGTATGTTCCATTATTATCTAACGTCATTACTATCTGGCACAGTAGCACTTGTGCATATCACTGCATCACTCGTAAATGTTTGACTCCTCTTGTCCACCAACAACAAGAAGCCATTTTTCCCCGACATGGCTAAAGCAATAATTGATTGCTGGAATCACCACGAATAATCGAATCACATCACATCATGTTCGAAATAGGAAGTTTAATGTGATTACAACTCCCACCCACTGATCTACACTGGATCATCCACGGGCATCAATCAAAGTATGTGCGATATACATACGGCACACGTATGTATACTAATCATTAACCTTCAAAATGGTTTCATTAGCTATCATTCGTAGGAATTCTCTTTTTTTTCATTCAATCACAAATAGACACACAACAATTAAGACATACGAGGGTGGACAAAACAATGCGATCATAATTCCGGAGCAGCTGAAGCTTCTATTCGAACCACCAGTATCATCACTTGGTTGGCTGACTCCGGTGTGAATCGTTTATCCTCTTTTTGACCTAGCTGTGTTCTTTCTTGGGTGAAACGAACAGAAGAAGTGCTAAAAATGCAAATCGCAAGATTAACAACTGTCTTCGGGCTTGTTCTTTGTGGTCAGCAAATTTTGGCAGAAGAAACCAAAACGTTTCCCGGGTAAATATTCGCTTCGGTTCGGTGACGTTTTATCTTCAGGATGGGTTTTAATTCATTTCCATTTTTTTTATATGATTCCTGTTGGAAAAAAAAATCCAGTGCCGAGATAATCATCCCCGCTGTCATAGCACAAGTGGCTCCAGCTATAATTGGTGCCATCATCGGAGGGATTGGTGGAGGTGGTGGAATCCTACCACCCTTGCCACCCATTTCGGCTTTCCATACGACAGCGGTAGCCACTTCGATTGCCAATAAGCCGATCGCTGTGAGGTGAGTAACTGATTTACATGATTTGCTGTTCATCTCATGTAACACATTTGACAAATATAATCGAAGAATCAAAGATGAATAATTCTAAAATTCAAGTTTCAACAGTCACAGCGGATCCATTTCGACCAGTTCCAGTACGAATGCTGGTTCGCATGCATCGGTTGGTCCTGGATCACTCGTATCAAGCGCGAGCAGTGCAGGAACCAACACAATCCAAAATCTTTCCAAGCGGTGGCAAAAGTTCTTCAACAATCTTCGCTGAATCCGGTTCTTAATTGGTTGTCGTTATGATGGAATAGGAATAACAACAAGACCACGGTAATCCGCGCAGAAGAAAGTTTTCTAAAGCTACAATAAACGACTGCAAGAGTTCCAAACTGGTTTCTTACTGGGGTAACTGCTGGTTTGCTGTTTTTGTTGCAATTCAAACGTGATTTGATTAATATGCTTAGCCAGAATGATTGGGAACGAATGTGTGGAAACAGAAATAGGCGAATGGGTCATCAACATTAATAGAAAATAAATCGGTCGTTGTCATACTGGAAAGTCACAAAGTGTGGAAGAGTTCTTGTTTAAAATGAGATAAAATTGTTCAAATCGATCAACCAGTTCACATGTTAACACTCCGGACACGATGCCTCCGGTAAAATGTGTAACAGAAAATTGGCAATGTTTGTAAAACCATTGCTCAGCAATTTATCGATGGATCATAAATCTATTGACACCGATTTTTTTTAAAGTCCATAGTTTCAAATGGCGCCATTAAATTTGTAGTTCGTAATTTTTCAAACATTGCAAGTTTGCTGTTACACATTTTACCGGAGGCATCGTGTTTGGAGTGTTAATGCGTCTTGCGTTGATAGGAATAGAGATCTCCAAGCGCAATCTCACGAACACTAAAATCCAACATCCATATATAAAAATGAAGAAGAAGAAGAACCAAAAAGGTATCGTGATATCACAACTACTTAAAAAGGTAGCGCGCGGTCTCACGCACACTTTTGTGCATCTGGAGAACTCTATAGAGATCTCCAAGCGCAATCTCACGAACACTAAAATCCAACATCCATACATAAAAATAAAGAAGAAGAAGAAACAAAAAGGTATCGCGATATCACAACTACTTAAAAAGGTAGCGCGCCGTCTCACGCACACTTTTGTGCATCTGGAGAACTCTATACCGTTAACAGAAAGAACGATGACTTTATGATACTGGAGTAATCATTCAGACAATCAATAGTGTGGTACGAATGACACTGGGTACGTTTATCCAAGTTAAATGTTTGTGAAGAATTATTGTAAATGTTGTAGAGTGAAACTTGTTGCTGTCGTCAATGTTCAAGGTTTATTAGATCTTGACCTAATAAGAGATTTATTTAACTTTGATAAATTAAAAGTCCGGATTATTCAATATCTGTCAGTCTGTTACTTTTAATTACGATCTTGCGCTGGAAATTTTGTTTTATAGCCTTACCCTAGAATAGCGTATATTTTTAAATTTATTTATTATTTATCCAAATATGGTACATTCAGTGTTATAAATGTTCTTGAAAACTCACTTTGACTCTCGGTAATTTCTCTTAGCAAATTTGATGGATTTTGATAATTTAACCAATACAGGGGTGCCTTCCATTGTTTTGGTCAAAATATGATGATGTTTTGTATGTGTAAGTAACAATAATAGGTTGAAAAGTTTGTGCCTGCCACATAAAACCAAGTCCCCGGCAAGGGGACAGATCTAGATAGAGCTGGAATTAGGGAGTAACAGCTTTTGTAAACACCGGGCTCGCCCACGCAGACCAATATAACCATCGGATAGGGAAAGTCTTTCCCTACCCGATAATGATGTTGGTATGCGAGGGCGAGCCTTGAATGTCAAGTCATCAAGAGAAGTCATTGTTTACAAAAGAAGTTTGACCCTAATTCCAGCTCTATCTAGAGATAACCTTAGTTTCACGTACCCACTTGCAAATAGTATATGTAAAGAGCAAATTTTCATTACGTCGAATGTAACAAAGGTAAACAAAGTCGAGCTATCAGTGTCAATCGATTCTCCTGCTATTACACTATATACTGTCCGAATATAGGATCAAATCCCATTTTTAAATTTATTTACCAGTCAAATTGCTTTTTGACGTAATCACCTTCCGATCAAAATAGTTTTCGATGTTACTTAAGTCACCCAATTTCTATGGAGATGCCGTTTGACTTAAGTAACAGCGCTGAGAAACCCGTGAAAAGTGTACGTTCGTCGCTTCGCGTTTTCATTATTAAAGTGAATAAATCGAACTGTTTGTTGCTAAGATGATTTCGGTGGTCCTAAAATGATGAATGGGCTGCACGTAAGGAGACGTAATTGATAATTCTCCCGAATATCCTGGTAAATACACTTTGACTTAAGTAACAATAGGGGCCACCAAACGACGTATAATAACTTTTGACTCAAAAACTAGTATTTTTTAGCATGAAAGCCAGCGATTTGCATTTGTATGATTAAAACCCTGCTAAATATGTTAAACATTGCTATTACTATGAGATTATATGTGTTTACTTGGAAATAGGAATAACTTTTCGGTCATCAAAACAAAACTTTATTTTTCTCGGATTGGTGCGAATGTTACTTACGACATAATGAAAATTTGCTCTTGATGTCGTCACTCAACATAAACAAAGGCATTGTCCTTCACCGCCGCATTGGCATTTCTCTATTGGTATTTCTCTATATATATGGGAATCCAACTTTTTGTTTCTCCATGTGTGGATGTCAAATTAACAAGCAAGAATGCTATATGATAAGAACGAATTTATTATTTTCGTGGTAAAATGAAATCATCCAAACAAATTTAAACCGATTGATGGAGGTTCATTTTCTTAAATAATCATATGACAATAAAAATACTTTGCTGTCTTCTATTTTATTTTGTTCTTGAATATAATCAGCCTACAGTTTTTTTATTATAGTAGTGTGATGAAGGCCTGCCATGGGCCGTATGAATATAGAAAAGTTTACTTTCCTGTATTTCTCTATTCTTGTGTTCTTGGGTATTCTTCTGACAAGCAAGACTTCTGAAACTAAACTGAAAATACTCATTAATCACCTCAAATAACTTTCAACGTTGGAAGATATTACGAACGACTTGAAAATAGAATCCTAATGAGCATCTGCAACATTCATCAAAAATGTCTGATGATAGCATTAGTATTCGTGGGCGAGCTACCAGTTACGCCAAATCGACGATCAAATGCTTTGTTTACAAAAGCTGATACGTTCCTTCGAAAAAGTAATCGAGATATGTTACTCAACAATGCTATTGTGCACACTACTGAGAATCAAAACAAAAATTTTAGCTGGCATCATTGGAGTTCCTATGTCGCTAACGTCGCGTGTGTGGTTTGGTGAGCGCGCGACAATAAGATGAATTTTAAACATTAATTTTGTTTACTGTACATTATTTCCGCATTCGCCCTTTTCAGATAACACTTCTAAAAGTTGTGAGTTTGACAGAACCACCAGCACCAAATAGAGTTCTCCAGTCCAGATGCACAAAAATGTGCGTGAGACCGCGCGCTACCTTTTTAAGTAGTTGTGATATCGCGATACCTTTTTGTTTCTTCTTCTTCTTCTTTGTTTTTATGTATGGATGTTGGATTTTAGTGTTCGTGAAATTGCGCTTGGAGATCTCTATTGTCGGGGTACACTGGCAATATACTGGAGCTGTCAAGTTGCCCCCGAGTTGCATAAAACCTCCAAATTTAGCTTTGACATAGTCACAATGAGCGATTTTCTGATCGCATTTTCGCGAAGAGTGAAGAGCAAAGAGTGGGTGAGATAAATGACAAAATCGCTTATTGCGACTCTCATAGTAACAAAATTGGCAGGTATTATTTGTCAAACACACAGAGGCGACAATCACGAATGTCGGCGGAGCTCACATCAATATTATGAACATAGTGGGTGAGGATGACTGCAACAGACTACTCTCTCTAGCATTAAGCACTGCGGTGCAAGTGTGAAAGAGTAAACTGTTTTGTTCTGTCTTACCAAAAGTGCCAGATTGTCCAAACATGTCAAATTCATGTGAGCTATAGTGCATCTTTATGTGGTTGACAGGGATAGCAACCGATCAGCACTCGTGTTTATTTCAGTTACCGTGGGCACGTAATTTGTGATTAGCCCCGGTCTTTTTCAAATTGTATCATTATTTATGTACGGTTCTTATATTTGAAATGACGTTTCACATTCATCTAGTGATGGCCAATTTTAATTCGAATAATCGATTAATCGATTCACGAACCGAAAAGTAAAATATTTGTAATCGGTTATATCATGCCGATATAAGCATCAACTTCTCTAGAGGATCATCACCCATCGTTTCAAACGTATGCTGCACTCTCATTGGTGGAAAAACTGACAGCACAGCGAACTAAAGATAATCGATTAGTTGTTAATCGAGTAATTAAAAAATAGGACATTTCTGATTTTGGTGTGATTGTTTTGATAAAAAAGAGCGCAAAATTTCATCTCTACCGAGGGGGCAGCAAAACCACAAAATTACCTAGTATTCATTGGATGAAAGCAAGTCCCTGGCAAGGTGACAGATAACCTTAGTTTCACGTACCCACTTGCAAATAGTAGATGTCGCCACACAACGTAAACAAAGGGATTGTCCTTCACCGCCGTAATAGTATTTTTCTATGGGAAATCAACTTTTTGTTTCCCCATGTGTGGATGTCAAATAACAGGCAAGCATGTTATATGAAAAGAGCGAATTTATGATTTTCGTGGTGAAATGAAATAAATCAAAATGAATTGAAACCGATTGATGGAGGTTCATTTTCTTATATAATCAAATGGCAATAAAATACGTTTCTGTCTTGTATTTTATTTTGGTCTTGAATATAATCAGCCTTCAGATTATGTTTTTGATCATAGTTGTGCGATGATGAAGGCTTTCCCTAGGCCGTATGTGTTCTCCTGATATGCAAAATTTCTGAAACTGAACTGAAAATACTCATCGATTTCCTTGAAATTCGTAGGAATTAACTTGAAATTCGTAAGAATTTACTTGAAATTCGTAAGACTTTTTTGAAATTCATAGGAATTTCCTTGTAATTCGTATGAATGTCCTTGACATTCGTAGGATTTTCCATGAAGCTATAGGAATTTCCTCGAAATTTGTTGTAATTTCCATGATTTTCGTTTAAATTTCCTTGAAATTCGTTGGAGTTTCCTAGAAATCCATAGAAATGTCCATTAAATTCGTTGGAATCTCCTTAAAAATCGATGGAATTTCCATACAATGTAATGAAATTTCTTGAAATTCGTTGGAAATTGCTTGTAATTCTATGACATTTCTTTAAAATTCT